TTTTTTTTATTGTATTCCCTAGATAATTATAATTATATTGGAAGCCTAGCTCAATTAATTTCATAAAAATTGCTTCTATTTATCAGAAACTTTCGTTAAATGTTTATTAAATACACGGAAATTCACAAAAAAAGGCATCAAAAACAGACGCTTCAGAGTAAAATTGTTGCTTACGCATTTCTAATACACTTTTAATTAAATTCGATTACTTTTTAATTTTGCCCAGGCTAATTGATTGCAATAGACATACCGAACGTTATATTCTCATTAAATACTATTTACCCACACGCACTCGCACCTTGCATTGAGTTTTAATTAATTGTCAGTGGCGCCGTGAAGTTTCTTTGAGTAATTAATTATAATTTTGTTCGATTTCAAAGCAGAAACATGTTGCTAAACTTCTTGAGGCCGACTAAGAGCTCACACTCAATACGTGCACGTGTGTGCGAAGTGCAGAGCTCATTAACTTACTCGACTTAGCTAACAAGATTTAAGATAAGCAGGCTTTATTTAGCCGGAGTTCAGGTAAATCATTTTGTGCATAAATTTGTACATACCCAAAAATTGCAGCTACGCTTCACAACTAAATTTAGTTCGTTGTATTATATTTGAATTTCGTTTTGATTGTTTTAATATCCGCACTTGTTTTCAATTGATTTATGACGTTTTATTTAACTGACAATGGCAAGTTGACATTTATTTTGAATAACACACACAAACTCGTATTTGTATTGTATTAATTAGTAGTTAGTATATATATTTTTTATGGGCTTATGAGTTGCTGCGAAACTGAGCATGTTTTGCAGAATAAAGCAATTAGGATTTGTGATTTGAAGACTCAGAAGTCGGCGCAACACAGTCTTAGATAAGTTTTAAGAAATTTTACAATAAATCTACAGATAGAAATTTAAATAAAAAAAACAAAAGAAATATATTTACATTTAATCTATTTTATTTGGCATAAATAATATATTTAATTCAGAAACGCTGCGCATAAAAAAAAATGATGACAAGCTCTATATTAAATAAATTTCAATTTTTAAAGCACACTTTTCGGCTTAATGCAGCCCTTTGCAAAGCTGCCTGGGTTTATTAGACCTATTAAACAACTATTAAAAATATGACTTTGTGCAATTTATGCTTGGACACGCCTGGGACTCAAAGCCGGCTTGTTAACTTGGCCAACTCATCTGCCGAGCACTACAGCTGCTAAAATAATGCTCGTAACATGCATAAAAAATGCAGATGCCAGTCATAAGCATAGCAAGGGGAGCCCGGCACCGAAATGGAATGCATTACAGAATGCGGCACAGCTGATGCCACTTTCAAGTTGTGTTCAGCAGACTCAACAAGAAAAAAAAAACAAGGCATGAAAAAGCAGCTGCCAGCTAGTGAAAATGACACTACACAGAGCCTTGTGCCCGCCCAAAAACGTATACTTGATTCTTGTTAATGTTATTTGTAGCAATTACACGCAGGTTCGCCTGCTGCTGCCAGTTTGTTTGGCCAACTTGTCAAATTTGATACGCTTGGCGCTTACGGGCGCTGCAAATGTTGCCGCTATCTTTGGCCGCACGGCGCCAGAGAACTCTCGAACTTTTCGCTTAAATCGTTCGTTTGCAACTGAATCGACCGTTGCACACAGCTCGCCAAAATCGCTGCACTCGTTCGAGACGCGACCGTTGCCAGCCAGTCAGCCAACAGAGGCAGCAGAGACAGCAGCAGAGGCGACAGCAGCAGCAGCAGCAGCAGCAGCAGCAGCCAAGGGCTTCCAATGCGTACCGAAGCTCAGGCGAATGGGCGAATGTTGCCCAAAAGCAAACAGAACAGAGAAATGGCGCCGGCTACCGTTAGACGCAAGCATTCGTGACCCATTCCCAAAACGTTCCGCACACGAGTTGAGCGAAGTTAACAAGCAGCTGTTAATATTATTGTTGCCATTTCGAAGAGCTCTCAATGTGATTTATTTTTGTAAAATAACAAAAATAAGACAAACTTTATGCAAACAATTTAAATATGAATCATAATTAGTTTGTTGTGTTTTTGCTGTAAGAGAGCATTTGAAAATGCATTTCACTCTCATGCTCGTTTTATGGTGCTCTGCATGCTGTTGCACATTCGGGAAATGCACTGGAAACGACTGGAAAGTGGAAGCGACAGTGCACGTTTCGCCAGTTGAGCAATTTAGACAAATCTACATTCACTTGACAGAAAGCAGCTGTGAAGGATAGCAGAGAGATGGAGCTATGCTAGCGATATGTAAGGAAAACTTGTTTTATGCGCTGTAAAAAGTTGAAGATATTCTGTTTAAGCATTGGGAAATTAAAGCCAACAAATCGGTCAATATTAATTCACAAATTGGTCAATAATATTTAGTTACTATGTAAAACTTAGTTAAAAGTTAACAAACTTTACATATTTTTCATTTCACAAACCCAAATATTACAAGCTGTATTTAAACTAAACTGAAAGACTCTTTTTTAGTTTTCAACAATTAACTAAAAGCCGCTTCCAGTCAAGAACTCTCTTAAATAAACAAAGAAGCGCTCTTAAGTCGGGTTGCCATAAAGCACTTGGAAGCTTCCAGTGTTTCACTCTGCCAAAACGTTCCGCCGAAGCTGCCATAAAGCTTCCAGGAGCACCTATGCCAGAGCATAGGCTCGTCTTTTAACATTCCCTCTCTCTCCCTCTCTCTGTCTCTCTCTCTCTTGGACTGCCGAGAGAGTGTTAACAGTGCACTGTTACTCTCCCCAATATGCTGTGCTCCACATTTCAAAGCCACAAATTGCTGGCAGCTGACACTTTCGAGATGTCACTCCTAACTGCACGGAGGCCACTCGAAGGCGCCACGCGGCGATTTACGAGCACGAACTGCAAACGAAGTGCGAAAGCCAAAAGACAGTCGCCGTCGGTGGAACGAACAACAACAACAGCTGCTGCTGCTGCTGCCGCTCACATGGATGAACCTGCCTCAAGGAAAAGTAGTGAACGCAAGGTTCACACCGGCCGGCGCGGCAATAAATTCTGGAGAGCGGGAATTTTTAGAGATTTGCGGTTTGCGATTTTAAATTTATTTTAACGGTACACAGGGGCGGCGCGCCTTAAAGCATGCTACAAAAAATGCTGGCAACAGTGAGCGCTGTTGCCAGCTGAAGCTGAAACTGTTAACGGTAATCAGCTTTCCATTTGAAATGCTGCAGCCCTTGCCACACCTCTCGCCCGCACGCACAACTGACAATGCGCCACCTGGCCCACACCTGTGACCACAAATGCCCAAAAATTCGTATATAGTTTTCACGTTCATCCGCTTACAGAGCGCGGCCTTTGTTCCATTCCATTTCATGGTATGCATGGCCTACAACTGCCCCCCCCAACCACCCCATCCCCAGCCCTTCCCTCTCCAACCCGCCACTCTAGCAAGTGGTGCTGCCTTTAGGGTGGCCCCAAATCAATTGCTCGCAACATGACTAAATCTTTTGGATACATGAAATTTGTTTAGTTTGCTGTGCTTTGGCGCCCCGCGTTTCGTGTGAAGTGGGCTCTGGATGGTGGGCGTGGCATGACGCGGCGTGAGGATGCCCGATGGACCGGGCATTGATTACAACTGGCAATTTTTCAGCTTGTTGCACATTTGGCGTGTTATGTTGCATGCAACGTGCGGCTTCGCTGGGGCCAGGTGTTTGTTGTTCAAGTCGATTGTGTGTGATGAACAGCAACAGCAGCAGCAGCAGCAGGCACACAGACGCATCAGATTACAGCCAGCTACAAAGAGGAATGTATTTTAACTTAATACATAAATACCTAGAAGCTTACAAGAAACATACACAGAAGCTAATTATTGAAGTGAATATGTAATATCTGAGCATGTTAACAATTCAAAGTGAATGCGTTATGTTGTTTGTTATCCAGAGCTAATTATTGAAGTGAATAATATAAATAATGCAAAGTGCATGCAAAACGAGTTACTTCGGAGCTAATTATGGAAGTGCATAATATTACTAATTCATATTTAGTAAGCATAAATCATTAAATTGGTTTTCGATGAAGCACAGATTTAAACCAAAGGCCAGAAGATAAGAGGAAGATATGCGTATCAAGCACAAGTTAACAAGGATGCTTGTAAGCGCTGTACTTACAAGAATTAGACGGTTAGACACTTTGTTATTTATAGAAGAACTGCTTCAAATCGATCCGTATAAGCCTAGTTATGTTTTTGTTGAAAACTTTATCTTGCTTTCACAAAGTTTTTAGGTATTGTCAAATATACGACCTGCTTGTCCGCCCACTGTCCACATGGACCCCATTAAAGATAGGATTTACCAAACCCATATTTCTCCAGGACGCAATTATTTTTTTAATGCTCATAGGTAATCGAGCAACATGGGTTATTTTAATATTTCCAAAGTATCTTTAAAATTTCCAAAGTATCTTTAAGATACATAAGTATCTCGGAGATACAAAAGTATCTCTGAGATTCAGAAGTATCTCGGAGCTACAAAAGTATCTCAGACATACAAATTATGAATGTATCTCTGAGTTACAAGTGTATATCTGAGATACAAAAGTATCTGCATGACTCAATGACATCTGTAACATCTGACTATCTGTAAAATAAAATAGTATCTGTGGGATATTTTCATATCTAAGCGATATAAAATTATCTGCGTGTGCATAGATCAGGAAGTCAATACATATATGTCACCCCGATATCATATACTTAGTAACCCTAGAAGCTATAGGACATAGATAAATTTCTTGGCTACCAGCCACTTTTTCTTTACGACTTGTTGACAAACCCCTTTCATTTCGAGTGTGTCTCTATGATATTGCATATCTGTCAAGCATATCTGTCAAACTTCTTTTGCCTGTGGGCTCATGCTGAATCTCCAACCTGAATCATTAGTATTTTATTTTATTACTATTTCTTATACAAGTTTTTCTCAAATTACCTTCACACATAAAATTTCGAGCTTCGATATTTTGGGCATTTTTAAAATTTCCAAATTTTTTCTTATGCTAAAAGCAAAGCTATATCTAAAGTGCGGCAAAGGCATAAAATGAATTCGCTCGTACGGTTTTTGATATTTGTAGCATGTCTCAACCTGCTATGCCTTATGCGATTACTTTACGAGGTATTCAAATAGTCGAATTGGTGCACCTCGAAGTTGAAAACCTCTTATCAATTACACAATAGAATACTTCCTATTGAGGGACTTAATATTTTTATTCAAGGCTTCCTTTATATGACATTGAAGTTTGAAAAGTTTTGGCATTTGTGATTTTTCGGTACAATTCAAAATTTCTATGCTAAATGGAGAAAAATATCAAACTCAGCTCTAAAAGCTACTACCAAAATACTGAAACCACACAAATACTTATACGTAAACCTAATACAATATTTATCACTACGAACTAAAACCATATTATAAATATGGCATGCTTTAAGCGCGACAAGCTCGACTGTGAATGTCCCGTCGAGTGTCCGAAAATCCAGTTAACCAAGGAACGTCGTTACACCTGGCTGAATTCCAGTGGTTGCGTAGTCAGTCGTCCGCTGACGAACTACGAGTGCCAGCTGGAGGATGAAGTGCAGCAGCTGCAGGACGCTCTATTCTCTATATCCTCGCACTATGCCAAGATTCAGTTTCGTTTGCGTCAGATAGCCACAGCCTCGGGCTACGAGCAGGAATGTCTGCTGCGCGAACTGGAGCGGGTCACATGCCAGGGCATCGATGACAGACACAACGAGCTGCCCAACTTGTTGAGCGACTCGCACAGGCTGGGCAATGTGCGTGGCAAGCAGCAGAAGATCATCTCAGATATCAGGAGTCGGCTCACGAACCTGGCCGAAGTGACCGATGTCTGTTTCTGCGCAGAGTCCGATAGTAGCTACAATTTGCGTAGGCATCTTCAGCGAGAGCTGGAGGAAGCCCCTCTCGAGGAAATACCATTACCTGCCACAGAGGAACATGAGAAGAACTGTTCGTGTGTCGTTTGTCAGGACCGTATGGAGGAGAAATGCAAAGTGCCAGCCTATGAGCGGGGCTATCTGTCGGAGACCTGGCCAAGCGTTGATGAATGCATTGATGAAACCCAAACCCAAACTAAGCAGAAGAAGAAAAAGTCCAATAAATATAGTCTGGAAAAACTATTAATCGAGCAATCGAGCCTGTTAAATCCTAGTCGCACCGGTGTAAGTCGCACCGTTATAAGTTCTGCTAGTGGTAAAAAAGCTCCCAAGGAAGTAAATTCCATGCAAAGAAATTCACGAATCAATGGGGTACAAAGCGCTAGAAGTCTCAATCGCACCGTTATAAGTTCTACAAGTGGTAAAAAAGCTCCCAAGGAAGTAAATTCCATGCAAAGAAATTCACGAATCAATGGGGTACAAAGCGCTAGAAGTCTCAATCGCACCGTTATAAGTTCTGCTAGTGGTAAAAAAGCTTCTAAGGAAGTAAATTCCATACAAAGAAATTCACGAATCAATGGGGTACAAAGCGCTAGAAGTCTCAAATCCAAAAGTAATCAGGATATCAAAACGCAAAAGAAAGGTGTAGTGCAAAAACTACCAACGCATAGCTCTAAGTGCTGGCAATTGCAACGCAGAAAATCCCACGAGCCGCAACAATTTTCGCCAAGAAATTCGAAAATGAAAGACGCTTTAGATGCAGCTGAGGCTGGGGAAAAGTGCATGCCTGGTTGCAAATGTCCGGGATCGAAGCGCATGAGTCAACGGGACTTTGCATTAATGCAAAACTACAAGAGTCGAATGGAGCTGAAAAAGAGAAAGTCCAGCAGTAGAGCTCAGGGCTCAAAAATGAAATATGAAATAGAAGGTGATACACCAACAGAATCGACATGGAGTGGCCAGAGCTGCTGCTGTAATCCTGTAGAGTATAGCCCGAAATCCACGAATATGAATAGAGCCAAGGACACAATCAGATCTAAACCACAGAGCTGCACAACGCTAGACTCTGGCAATCAAGTAGAACATAAGGGGAAAACCACCAATATCAAAAGAGCTAAGGAATCACCACGCATAAGTCCTCAAGGCTCGGAAATGCAATACTCCAAAAATCATGTTGAGATACGAAGAGACAGCAAGGTCAAGTCCCAAAATGGCAAAGCAAGTTGCCCACAGGCCTGTATAACGATATGCCCTGGCAATCAAGTTCAACAAAATGTGACTATCAAGCGATCAACACGATGTAGTCTTCAGAGCTCACTGTTGCAATACCCAGACAATCAAGTAAAGCGCAAAAGTAAAAGCATTCAAAACAATAGTGCTAGGGAATCGCCCCGAAGTAGTTCACCAAGCCCAAGAATCCAATCTCCTCACGAACGAGTAGAGCAGACTAACAGCCTGAAGGCAAGTAAATCCAGATATAGAACCCCGTCGAACGGACAAAGTACTCCTCCAAGTGAGTTAATGCAATGCGATGGATGTCAAGATGCCTGCGAGATAAGCAAGTCCAGCATTAGATCTAAGGAACCACAACAGCGCCCTGCCAAAAGAGTGCAATACCAAAACCTGGAATCTGAATGCGAAAGCGAATCGGAGCTAAGTTCCGGATGTCAAAACCATCAACAAGACAGCAGCCAAGAAACCGTCCATAGCCGGGAAACGGAATGTAGGGAGGGGGATACACAGGTCCCAAGGTACAACTGTGCCTTGGCAGAGATGTCCACATGTTTTGTTCATAAGCGCAACGCAAGAACATTATGCGACAAGCGATCTTGTACGGCTGTTTGTTCTAAAACTTGTACATGCTATGATCAGCTGCCGGATGAGAGTAGCAAAAAGCCAAGCAAAAAAGAATTGAAAACTTGCGACAAGGAAACCTGCTCTATTAAGCAGGCCAAAAGGCAAGCGAAAAAGAAGCCCGAAAAGAAAGAGAGCAAGAAGGATTTGAAATCAAAATCTATGACCATGATACCAAACGTAAAACCATTGACACCAGCACTAAAACCTCCACGCAACTTCGTCGAGAGCCAGAAGAATAGTTACCTTATCTATCCAAATGTCCCCGCCAAATATGGTTCTCCAACCAAAGAGAAATGTGGACGACGTTTCTGTAGATTGTTTTGCAACAAGTTTAGCAGAACCTCGGTAGATCCAAATACCAAGAAAAAGCCTGACAAAAAAGAACTTAAACTAAGCGAAAGCCTAACTAACCCCTGCCCACAAACGTCAAAGAGCCCTGACCGCGAGACTGTGCTTCAAGAACTAAAGTAAGTTAACAAAGATTCAGTTCCCAAAGCGGAGCTAAAACGATTTGTCTTAAAGGTCTCGCTTCAAAGCTAAAGAGTCGAGCGAAAATGATGGAGGCTGGCGATTAGCTCAGCTATAATCATAAGTTATCTTAAAACACTCTCAAACAATGGCAGGAACTCTCTGGAGCCACGTTGAAAGTGTTTTAGTTTAGTTTAGGATTATGCTTGCTTCCAATATCTGGTAGGTCGTATGATTTATATTGTATGATGGCATGTTATGTAAGCCGTTGTAAATGTTAACTGGACTTAAGTCCAGCAGATGTGCCATGCCCAGGGTCTTGGGTGAGTGATAAGCTGTAAAGAATTCAAATACATATACATATTAAATCTTTTACTCAGAGATCATCTCGCCATAGGCAGAGTGAAAGCTGGATCCTGCTGTTGATCTTGGCCAAGAATACCAAAGTGCAAAGTCGGGTAAATTTGCGTCTGTCATTATATAGAAGTTTCATGTTTGGATATTTAGTAAAATAATAAAGAGCACTCTATATATTATTGTTTATAATTCAACTCGAAATGCTTTTGTGATTGAATCTCCAATTGGTACTGTTTGGCTGGGATTATTATTTATTTGGCGATCCCAAGTGCAGCCTGCAAATCTCTGACAAAACCAACAATTTTATTGACTCAAAATCGTACAGATTGTACGCTACCCTAAATGCTGCTGGCCATGGTCATTGAACCCCGGCCAGCATCCCCTAACCGGCGCTCTCTACCAAGGCTAACACACACAATACGCCTGAATCAAGGGAACCAGTTTTTATAGTCGTGACGCGTCGCAGCCAGCGTTTTGGCAATTTTCCGCGCATGTCGAAAGTATTTTTGCAGTCTCTTAGGTAGAGGACCGTACCGTACCCGTCTAAAGGACCAGATCGTGTGGACCGCATTGAGGGTTGTTTTCTCTCTCTCTCCTTCTCCCTTTCTCTCGTCATCTCTTGGCAGCAACCGTGGCCTCATTGTTCTTTCAGTTTCCCATCCGATTCATTCATGAGTGCGCCTGTGCCGTCGTCTGGCCCGTCTGCTTAAGGGCCTCTTTCTAAGTTGGTCTATAACGCTTTTGGTTACCCCTCGTCGCTCGCTCACCGTTGCTCATCCTCATGCTTGTCCCATGGCGCATGCGCTGCTGGGCTTATCTATTGTCTCATTGTCGACTGGTTTTTATAACGCCTTCCGTATTAATGGTCTCAACGTCCCGTCCCGAGCGTTTCTGCCTGACATCTGGCCAAATGTGTGTGTTAGGCCCATACGAGTAGGGGTTAACCGTCCACACTCACACACATTTGTCTCAGATATGCTAATAGTCTGGCATGTTTAATGATATTCGTATAACACTATGAGATAAAAGCAGTTTGTTGTGTGAAGATGGCAGATAAGATACCAATAGATAATTGAAAACGAAACATTGCCACGGATTTGGATACGGGATGAAAAACCAGTCGGAGTAGAACACAAAGATACGATTTTCTAATTTCAGTACATATTATTGGGCAAGAACTACTTTCACACTTATTCAAAATATATGTATGTAAAAAACCAATACATAATGCATTTGTATCATTTGTATTATTAACCTTTACAAATCTACACAAAATCCAATCAACAAGGTAATTCTATAATGTACGTATTTTATTTAACTTTTCTTTTATATATATATATATGTATATCATTATATAAATATATATTTACAACGCTTTGCAAACGGTTCAGAAAATGTTTACGTAAATATTTGTTGAAGAAACTATAAATAGATTTAATAATATATTTATATAAAATGCTAATATATTTAATATGTATTTGCCACTTTAGATTGAACTTAAAAGATCACAATGCTGCAATTCTCTACGCATTGGCAAGATTTCAAATGTTTTCGGTTCGAAATGAACTTGAATTAAGAACTATTTAAAAAAAAATAGAGAAATTAACGTAAATTACGAGTTTCAGTTACGTGTGATGGGACGTTGGCTAAGATAAGCTTTAAATATCTATCTAAGACATGTTCCAGCATTAGTTTGTAAGTTCCTTAAATTTGGCAGCATTAGGAAAATAAATAATTATTTCAAAATATATGAAGTTAAAACATAAATGTTGCAAGTTCTTTTTCCATATATATGTATATTCAAAGGCAAAAAGATTCAAAGATAGATTCAGGCTGCAGCGAAAAACTGGAACACTTTGCTTAGATACATATGGTTACGTATGTATGTGTGTGTGTATGACTTAGAACTAAATTAACGTTTATAATAAACTAAATCTCATACATTGCTAACTTTCTTTGTCTTTGTTGTTGTGTCTTTTCATAGAGTTCATATTTGTATTTATTTGTATTTGTTTTTTTTTTCTTTGTTTTTTGCTTTTTTGGGCATAGCTTTAAAGAAGTTTTCCATAGGGGCTGCTACATTTGGTATAACTACGTATTGTTCCTTTTTTTTTGGCATGGCACAAGTTTGGCATTGAAAATTGTTCGTTTTATGGCAAATTGAGAGAGAGAGAGAGAGAGAGGGAGAGGGAAAAAAACAATTGAATATTTGTGGTAAATTATTGGCAAGAAAACATTTTGCTTTGAGCAGCTGCATTAATCCATAATGAGCTCTACTTCTTTTCTCTACTACGGCTAAAAAACTAGAGTTAACCCAGAAACCCGGAACCCAACCAAAACCCGGAGACCCAACCCAGCGCCTATTTGGCCGCCTCGCATTGCTGCATCTGAACAACCAAGAGGAGTATGCGATTCATTAGATTGTCCGCCTCCGAATCCTCCATGCTGTTCAGCTTGGCCGATATGAAGCCACAGAATTTGGAGTTGAGCACCTCGCGCACCGTTTGCGGTGGCGGCAGCTCCAGACCGCCAGCCACAGCTGCGACGCTCTGTTGCTGCCTGAGATGACGGTGCTGTTGCAGCATTTGATCCTCATAGTCGTCACCATCCAGATCTGCATCCTCCAGCTCATCCGTTTCGCCGTTGCGGCGACGCTTGCGCGGTATTGCCGTCTGTCCGACCTCGGGGCCGCCGCTGATACTGTGCGGCGAATTGGAGTCGAGTATGATGGGATAGGGAAAGTCCGCATCGATGGCCTCCAGCTCCTCCACCTCGTCGGAGGCATTGCCGCCATCCTCGTCGCCGCTGCGCAACGAGCTGGCGTCCATGTCGTCATAGCTCGGCTGGTTTGCCTGCCCAGCGCCGCTGTCGTTGCGCGTAGAGCTCACGCGGCTGTCGTTGTGCTGCGCCTGCGCCAGAGCCAGCGCCTGCTGATGAGCGGGCAACGGCTGCAGGGGCTGGAGTGCATCAATGGGCCTAGTACTGCCACTGCTGCTGCCGCCGCTGCTGCTGCTGCTGCCGCCTCCGCCGCCGCCACCAGCGTTGCCGCCGCCCGTTGACAGATCCAGCTCCGGCTTCACATAGTAATCGCAATAATAATCCTCGTTGCTCATGTTCAGCGCCGAGCACTTGGACAGGTTCAGCACGGCGCTCGACGATTCGTTGAAGGATGAGGTGAGCTTCAGCGCAGCAGCTGCTGCTGCTGCCGCTTTGCTGCCGCTCAGCATGCTGTGATTGTTGTTGTTGCTGCTGTTGTTGTTATTGTTGTGCAAGTGCTGGGCGAAAGCGCTCAGGCTGAGATCGCTGGCATGTGAGGCGCCCCTGGAAGAAAGAGTTGGAGATTAGAATTCAGTTTAGAGTATTATGTGTGTAAGAGTGTGGGAATTAGGCCAAAACGAGCTGAAGACAAAATATGGTTCCGTTTAGGTTCGGCTGTTGCTTATCCAACTTATTCGCTTTAAGATTCGGTTTATGGTAACAATAAAGTGGATATTCCAGGCTTAAACAGTTTGATCTGTCGTTGATCTACATTTCATTCTGTTTACATTGAGCCCCTACGCACTCGCGTCCCTCTTTCTGTCATGCCAAGCCAGACACTCACAAAGAAACTGTTTCCAAAAATAACAAGACAATTAGGATGAACGCCAACAACCCCAAGGCACAATCAAAAAGAAACGTGCTCTAACAAACCCCAAAAGCAAAATACGAAACAAACTACCCAAAAAAGAACTCATGTATTCGAACTGATTTGGCTCCGATTTGGTGTCTAGATTCAGGGCTGGTTTCGGGCTGCGCTACTCAAATTTCAGGCGCATTTTCCAGTGCCGCGGAGCACAGCTGCCTGGACGCCTCAAACGTGGCTATTTTTAGACGCAAAGACGAAAAACTTGCCTCGCCCAGCCTGGGCTTGGCCCAGTCGAAACAGGCAGCGGCTCCAGGACGTGGCACTTTCTGTATGCTCCGGGGCAGGTAGTTGACAATTGGAACTGTAAAATGATATGCGAGGCGAGCGTTTTTCACATTTTTCATGTTTTCCACATCTACATCGACTGCCAACTAAATAATCAGGGCCAAATGCATTTTCACATGTTCCAATAGCCGAAACGCTCTCTATTTGCTTGCGGCTTCTGCGGTTCCTTTGGACATTCTCAGCATATATTTCTCTGTTTGCTTTCGTCTATTTTTCTATGTCTTATCAATGTTTGCTTCCGCTGGGCCCAGAGCCCGGCCAGACCCAATAATGGACAGTTTGCATTTCTATTTAATTGCGTAGCTCATTATGCTCAATATGAGGAATTCCGATTTTTAGGTTTATCAGCACCAACAACTGACGCCCAAACCAATGGTCAAATTTCCGCTGTTAGCTGAGCTAAGCTGAGCTGATCTGAGCTGACTTGATAAGCCAAAACAAATGGACAAAGTTTAAGTCAAGTCAAAACAAATAGTTCTCATGGTTAAAATCATTGATGGCCCTTCAAATACAAGCCCAAGCTTAAATCTTAGACAAAGAAAGGAAAGTGCTTACAGTTTCAATTGAAGTTCTGGATTAGTATTATGTTAAATATAGGTTCCATAGTGGTACAAAATTAAACACAATATTTATACTGCGATTAAGCTGAACGATGAAATAATAATAATAGAGATATTCCCTAGAAATTTAGTTAATACATTAGAATATTTTTCGTTTAAATATGACACACTTTTTGAATTTGAAAAATTTGGTGTCTGGATTCATATAATAATGAAAGCTGTGGCAACATTTATGTCTTGCGATAAACTTGAAAGTCTTCATAATCCGACTACTTATATTCCCCAGAAATATTGTTTTTTGGTTACCTTAAGTTTGATCGAAAGTTAGAATATTCTATTATATTACAATATTCAAAAAACCTAGAAAATAGTCTTAATTAACTCATAGCTATGCTGTCCTTCTTCTTGTCTATAAAAAAAAGAATAGAACAATGGCTCCAGAAATATAATTCATTTCCATAGAGGGTTTCCAAATTGCAATCGACTACTATAATATCGTATAAGCTATATATATCGATAATTATCGATAACAGCAAACAAAAGGATCACTCGGATCAGTAGAAAAGAAACAATTTCAATGCGAATACATAATGCGATAATCATCAGATTTGGTTGAAAGTAAAGGA